GTTAAGGTTGTAAAACCAGATTGATCTGGGTTTATTTCTTAGCTCTAGGACTCACTAGCTTTATGACCTTGGGCAAGTTATTTAGGCTCTCTGTGTCTCATTTGTCCCAAGAAAAAAAAATTATCTTCCTTGTAGAGTTAAATGTTATAATGCATGTAAAGCCCTTCTCAGAGCTCCTGGGAAATAGTCAAGGAAAGTTAGCTATTGTTACTGTAAAGTTTTGATCCCTGGAAAGAATGGTCCCTTAAGCCACCATCAGAAGAGAGAATATGAGGGGTCAGGATACAGACTGGAGGATGCCCAGAGATGAAGTTGAAGCAGAGTATCCTCCCACCAGCTCATGGACAAAAAGAATCAATTGAGGAGAAGCAAGCCCCCATGGCCCTGGTGTCCAATTTTCTAGAAATCATCACAGTGGCCAATACCTAAAGGCATCTTATCTCCCATAGGTTTTCTAGAACATCTCAATAGAGCTAATGACAACATGATCCAGGCATCCCTGGGCTCAGAGACAGTCATCTCAGGGGCTCGATGAGACTCAGCCCTGGGGAGGCCTGGGTTGCACCAGGTCTTCTTCCTCCAGGGCCTCGGGGTCTTTAAGACAGTTACATAGTGAGGTGTCAGAGAGGGGATGGCATCACCAGGCCTCATTCTCCTGTTGACTAGGAGGTGGATTCAGTATCTATGTTCATGCTCTACAAAGCCTACAGATACAACTGGGGGTTAGACAGGAGATCAGCTACCTCAGACACCCTGTGAAAAAAACACAGGCTCTGGATGTTAGAACTAAGGAATGACCTCATACTCTTCACATTTCATATCCCTGACGGTGCTTCCTAGACAGGGACTCAGAAGAACCTCACAGCATTACGTGGTAAGTTAAAGCCAGAGGTTCAAACCCAGCACAAAGTTTAAAGTATTCTTGTGGGTTCTTCAACACTATCCATCACACTTAAGCCTTTTATTCCTTTAGATTATTAAAGCTACTATGAGCAAGACATTATGGTAGGTATTGAAAAAACAGAGATGCATCATCTGTCTTAGTTGGCCAGGATGATTGTGGACGATAGAAATGGCTTGTTGGCTTGGTTTCTCTTTCATAATATTCTGAGAAGTTAAACTGATCTCCAGAGAGACATGTGTCACCTCTCCTTAGATCTTTCCATGACCCTACTTCTGTGACTCATTCAAAAGCTCATGGAATGGGCCTTTTGGAATATTGGCAGTTGCTTTTTGTGTAATTGTCATTCTGTTCAAGGTCAAGATATAATGTTCCTTCCTTTCCTTAGCCCAGACATCACCATGTTTGGCCATTGTAAGGTTGACCTCCAGCACTCTGTTAGTTTCATTGAAGCCTTTACTCATATTCTTTTTTTTTTTTTAATTTTATTGGAGTATAGTTGATTTACAATGTTTGTTAGTTTCAGGTGTACAGCAAAGTGATTCAGTTATACATATACATATATTCATTCTTTTTCAGATGCTTTTCTCATACAGGTTATCACAGAATATTGAGTTCCCTGTGTATACAGTAGGTCTTTTTTGGTTATCTATCTTATATATAATAGTGTGTATACATTAATCCCAAACTCCTGATTTATCCCTCCCCACAATGTTTCCCCTGTGGTAACTATAAGTTTGTTTTCAATATCTGTAAGTCTTTCTGTTTTGTGAATAAGTTCATTTGTATCATTTTTTTAATTAGATTCCATATATGTGTGACATCATATGATATTTGTCTTTCTCTGCTTGACTTAACTTCACTTAGTATGATAATCTCTGTTTCTTTGTTGTTTATACTGGGAGTCAGGAAAAGGCAAAGAACCTCAGAAAACCCCTATTCTGCCATCTTTGAACCAATCTTGTCATTTTTAAGTTAAGTAAATGGGTCCAGAGATACAGAGTCAAGACGCCCCAAGCAGCAGTGCTGTACCAAATCCTGGTGTCTTGGTTTCAGCTGAGTGCTGGACAGCAATGATTGGGAAGGAGGGCTCCCTGGCTTGATGCCGTGATGATAACTCAGAGGCAATGCTGAGAGTGCATTGCCTCCAGCGGTTTACCCCTCACTCTCATGGCTGTCCCCAAGAGACCTCAGCTGGTCTCAAACACTAGGAAATGTAGTTTGTCCAGTAAGTTCATTACATGTAATTTACTATCTCATTTGGTGTGGAGAATCAAATTTGGTGAGAGAATTGTGGTTCCCAGTCAATTAACATTTATTAAGATCCATACTATATTTGATTCATTTATTCATTCAATATAGTTTGTGTCCTTTTCACACGGGAGAGGCAGCAGCATGTGGTAGTCTTAGAACTCCAGATTTAAAGTCAGGCAGCTTTAGTTTGCCTCCTGGACCGGTTATTAACTAGCTATTTGATTTGGGGTAAATCCTTTAATCTTTATGAACTTGACTTTCTGCTGTATAGAACTTTTTAAGTAAAATCATGGTTAAATAATTCACAGTGGGCTTCCCTGGTGGCGCAGCGGTTGAGAGTCCGCCTGCCGATGCAGGGGACGTGGGTTCGTGTCCCGGTCCAGGAAGATCCCACATGCCGCGGAGCGGCTGGGCCCATGGGCCATGGCCGCTGAGCCTGCGCGTCTGGAGCCTGTGCTCGGCAACGGGAGAGGCCACAACAGTGAGAGGCCCGCGTGCCGCAAAAAAATAATAATAATAATAAATAATTCACAGTACATGGCACATTAATTGTAAATAATAATAATAATGTGTGCTAGATTAGGACCGGACTAGAGTATTTTGTATGAGCAGGCTATTTCCTATCTTATTGAGGAAGAACATTTGAGAAATCCTTCAGCTGTTTATTTTGCATCTGAAACAATGATCTGTTAGTAAAAGGGCAGTATGTTTGCATGTGTGTCCTACTTGGGCCAACACACATTGACACAGATGAGTTTCACTCTTGCATCTGCTCAGTCTTGTAATTTTTTTCTCACTCACAAAAAGATTTTGACTTGACCATGGTGTTTCCAGGAAATCATTTATAGTAAAAGGGCCTTTTGGGACATCATCTATGCCTTCATCTCCTTTTTGCCAAATTGGAGTTTATAGTCCATTGGAGTGGACTCTTGTAGTGGTAGTGTTTTTCTGCTATGCACATCCTGCAGTGAATTTACATCACACACAGGAAAGATCACCTCTTCCAGTCCAACAGCCAGAAGTAAAGAGGAAGTGAAATGAAGTCAATGGATTATTAATGTGAAAAATTAATGTGAAAAATCAAGATATACAATGTAATTTCATATTAACTCCCTTTTTAAAACTATATTCTTACATAGCAAAAACCATAGAAAAAACATACATTCAACGATTCATAGTGGTAAACTCTAGAAAGTGGGACTATAAATGATTTCTTCTTATTATCTCTTTTTTGATATTTTCAGAAAAGACTCAATATACCTGTGTTTTTTGTATTTTTGTATGATAAGGAAAATAGCATGGTAAAAATTAGATTTAAAAAGCACCTACTGAGCGTAGTACCTGGCAAATTTTAGATACTCAGTAGATGTCCAGTGATGTAATGAATGGTCCACAATCTGGGCAATTCCTGATGAGCTGACAGTTCAGCTGCCCTGGCATATCGATCATCCTGGCTCCACCACTGAGTGATCTCTCCAAGATAGCAAGAGAAAGAGGAAGGAGAAAAAAATGGAGAAGAGAATGGAGGAAAAAGATTCAGGAATGAAGTGCAATAAGGGACAGGTTACATCCCTTGATCATAGCATATTGTACCTGGAACACATGCTATGGAAAATGGACCCCAATTTCTTGGGCACTATGCAGGCATTTCATGGAGAACACAGTCTCCCACACTTCTGCAACTCTCATCATGTAGATGGGGAATTACCCTGACCCATCACAAGTGTAGTTAGTAGCAATGATTTGAATCAAGGCCTCCTAACTCCAGCTCAGGGCTCCTTCTGATAAAGAAGTATATCTATGAAATATATGAGTATATATGCAAACTTACTTTAACTTAGGAGCTCAGAAGGGTGATGGGAAATCAAAAATATCAAGAAGAATCAGAACACTGAAGAAAAAGAAACTTAAAGGCATATTTATGAGCCCCAGTTAAATATATACAACCTTCAGTCAAAAAATATTTATGAAAGGCATGAATGTTTTAGGAGCTACAAGAGAATCAATCCACAAAGATGAAAGAAGTAACTCACCCAGGGCAGAGAGCACATCATCAGCCCAGATACAACAGAACAAAACAAAACAAAAAAAAACAAAACAAAACAAAACCCAGAGAGCTATTTAGCAACAATCTGTTGCAGAAGAATCTCCATTGTGCATTTAGGATGTCATTCATTGCTCCGCTGAGTTCTTGTGTTCAAAGAAATAAGGCAAGGTCTATTTCTCTTTCCTAAATCCCTGGATCCTTGCCTTCTACCCACCCCAACCAAACCCCTACACTAAAAGACAGAAATTGGTAGCTGACTACATTATTGACTCAAATCCCCAAAATTGTACTCCCAAATGCCAAAGGGATGATTTATATGTACACTGCTGATGCACCTAGAGAACATAGTGTGCAGTCAACGGGAAGGAGAAGAATTGTGCCTCCTACCTTACAATTCTCTACTTAAAGGCAGTCCTTTTTTCAGAATACTTTTTTATTTTTAATTCAGGAACAAGACACTGAATTTTATCCAGGATCTCAATGCACTTCATGGATGTTATCTAGAGGCCAGTATTAGTTTTGTCTGTTCTTTAGACCCTTCTTGTACACAACAGTTTAAATAATAAATAAAAGCTTAACGTGATATGGAGGGTTTACATTTTGACAGAGATAAAGGTCAAAAACAGAGGTGATAGTCATTCCTTTCCATTCCAGGCATTAGTTCTCTGGCTGGGGAATGGCTTGGGAAAGGCCATAAGAACTTTGGAAGCCCTTGATCCCACCTTACTGAACCTCCATCTCTCCCGCTGCATGGGTACTGACTGACTCTACAATCTGAGAGACAACTCTAGGCAGTGATTGTAAGAAAATTTTAATCCTCTGGAAATCAACTCATCATAAACATGAGTTAATTGAAATTTAGGTTTTGATCTTCCTTTTATTAATAAGTGATAACATTAATTAAAGTATCATTATCTGCTATTATAAACAGATTTCAAAAATGTGTATTGTCCCAAACAGTAGAAATCTTCACAAATGTAAAAGCCAAAATGGGTGACATCGATCCGCTGTGGTCCTCTTCCTGATTCCAGGAAACAGGTTCCTCCATCTCATGGCTCCATCATCTTCAACATGGGGCTCCCCAGGTTAATGGCTCATCTGTGTCTGCACCAGGCTGGTCAACAGGGAAGAGCATGGAAGGGACCATGAGAAATCCTTATGTGCTGGACCAGGAAGTGAGACATATCACTTCTGATCACACTCTGTTGGTTAGAGTTCAGTCACATGACCACACCTTATACAAGGGAAGTTGGGAAATGTAGGCTGTGTGTCCAGGAAGAAGAGGAAACAGGTGAGTTTTATTGCTAGACAGTCTCCATGACAATAGGAAAATAAATTAACATCAGCACAATAACAACAAAATTGCAGTTTCCAGAGTATACCCTGGAGGCTACAGAAGTGAGACCTAGTCTCTAATAACTACATCTTCAGTCCTACACAAGATCTCTGTGTAGAATAAAGATCTTGTAAGGTTTTTTTTCTCTAAGAAAATTTCATCACCATGATGGGAAAACTCCTAAGAAATGAAAACAAAGATGTATTTTAAGGAAGAAAAAGAGTTTCAGCATCAAGAGTTGAAGGAGAAAAAAATCATTGAAATATCCCTAATTAGTTTGAAATTTTAATTTACCAAAAGGTACATTCTCATTCAAGCTAGTTAATTGGGGGGTTACCCTAACCAGTTAATAAGCCATGGTTATTAATAGCGATATTGTAGTATTCATTATACTAATGAATTCCTATTTACATATAGTCCACCTGAGATTAAATAGAAGCTGAGGGAAAGGAAGGAAGGAAGAAAGAAAGGAAGGAAGGAAGGAAGGAAGGAAGGAAGGAAAAGGGAGAGAGAGAGAAAGGAAGTGAGGAGGGAGGAAGGGAGGGAGAGAAAAAAAGGAAAGGAAGGGAAAGAAGTAGTTCCCCTCTGTGTCGGTGTTTTCTCCATCATTTGTTCACTGGACAACTACACTTGGCTTTGAAAATCAGTCACCCCTGCTCTAATTGCAATGACAAAAAGTAGCTCTGAGTGAAGAAACCCAAAAGTATTTGAAACCAGGTTACAACTCCCCTCAGTAATTTGGTTCTATAAGAAAATATACATGCCAACAAATTATCTTTCACTCCTGCAAGAAGAGATCCAGTTCTTTTGGGAATCTGAATTTATTTAAAGAGTGGGATGGGAAGGAAAGCACTCATTTAACCAGTTTTTAAAACAGATTTCATGACTATAAGCTTGAAAAAAGTCTCTGGCAGAAAAACACCTTAACTCTAATCGAAGCTAAACTGATGTTCTTGATGTTGGAAGGGTGCAGAGTGAAAGACGAATGGGCTGTGCTCCAGTGTCGTGCATGTCTGTGAAAAACCAAATACTCATACTAGCTTGTCCCCTTCAATCTTAGCCATCATCCAAGAAATGCAAATACTGAGGCTCAGTCTGCCTATCAGTATCAACTGATATTGATTAGAGTAAATGAAATAAATGCACTCAAACATCACTAATGGAAATACAATTTGGAAGGTAGTTTTTTTGGAAATTTGGTCAAGGTTAGATGCATTCATATTTTTCAAACCAATGATTGAATTTCTAACCTCATTTCAAAGGAAATGCTCTTAATTTCAGGGGGAAGAAGTCATATATAAGATGTTTGTTGGGCTTCCCTGGTGGCGCAGTGGTTGAGACTCTGCCTGCCGATTCAGGGGACACGGGTTCGTGCCCCGGTCCGGGAAGATCCCACATGCCGCGGAGCGGCTGGGCCTGTGAGCCATGGCTGCTGAGCCTGCGTGTCCGGAGCCTGTGCTCTGCAACGGGAGAGGCCACAACAGTGAGAGGCCCGCATACCGCAAAAAAAAAAAAAAAAAGATGTTTGTTGCAAAGCTATTTATGACAGCAAATGCCAACAATGGGATAGTTTCAATCAATTTGGCATATAGACTATAATGAAGATATTTGAAATTATGCTGTAGTTTTGGTCCTATGCAACTTATTACCCGTCATGAATCAGTAAACTTTTAATTACTGAATATTTAGAGCTCTTAGTGTCAAAGTAATTGAGACCTCAGTCTTTAGCTTTAAATGAATACTTTAGTTTGTGCTTTCTGAGCGGCTAGAATATTGTATTCCTGTTTCTAAGTTTGGGGCATTTTAATGGCATTACATTTGGGAATGAATGGAAATTGAATGCCAGGATCACTTTGAAAATGATGTCATTTTACAAAAACTTGGAGAGAGGCTTAAAAGATAATGTTAAGTGAAAAAGCAGGAAAGGAAAATTGTTGGTAGAGTCTGGTAACAAAAAAATGAAATAGGAATGAACATTTTGAAATAGAAAAAAATCCTATTTTTTTCCACTTTCCTTCATCTTTTCAAAATTTCTTCAAAAAAATTAGCATTTTCTTTGAGAAAAAAGAAAAGATATATTATATGTATAACTTAAAAAAAAATTACCTCTTAGGTCTATACCTTCCCATACCTTGACTGCAACTCTCAAATTGTAACAATCATGTAGGTTACACGAAGCCTGATATTAGCCAGGCGACTGCAATACCTCCTAGGAAACTGGGCGGGCCTCATTCCCAGAAGCAGTGTGAGCCCTAGGAGGGACGGATGTCCATGTAGCCAATCAAGTGTCTCAGGTCCACAACCACTTCATGTGGAGCAAGGATGATGACACTGAACATCCATTTAGAAAGGAACACAAGCAAGAATTCCATTCTTCCTCAACTCTGCAGCTCTCCTTTACCCTGGATCTAGAAATGACTTCTCAGGCTGAGGAAGTATAAGGCGGCAAAAGGACCAGAATCTGCCTCTCCCGCTCCTCTTTAAGGTGACTGTACCACCGATAAAAAGACAAGCTACTAGAAGGCAAGCTGAGTCAGGTCTCGTAGCCAGCAATCTCCTTATTGCTCTTGCGGGCAGAATGAGGTTTTGTTTCTCTTTCGGTGACAGCGACACTGAGCCTATCTTGGTCAGGCCTTCTGCATCATCCTAAAATGACTTTTTTTTCTTTCTCCTGCATTTAATCGTATTCTCTGCCACTAAACTTTTTAAAAAGTGGTGCTTAGATCCTGTTGAGCTGGGCATGAAAGAGCCCCTTTGCTCCCAGGGTTCTGATGGAGGAGACTTACCTTTAAATTGTGAAGAATCTCAAGGATCCCACTTGCCTGTGATCCCACTTTAGCCTTAAGTTCTGTCTCCTCCCCAGAATTCAGATATAGTGTTGGGCTTGAGGAGGTAATGGTGCAAGTTGACCGTGTCACTGGGTACAATGGTATTTCCTGAGAACCAACTTGGGTGTTCGGTAGCGCATTAGCTGCTGGATTAGGACAGTGGAGACATGCTTTAAACAAATTATTCCAACAAGTTACTAACTAATTAACCTCAACTGTCCAGAATGCTATAGGAGTGTCTCACAGGCAGACATACCTCAGCCTAAAGCAGTGATTTTTTTCAACCAGGGACAGTTTTACCCTCCAAGGGGACATTAGGCAATGTCTGAAGACATTTTTGGTTGTCACAATTTGGAGGAAGGTGAGGACAGGAACAAGAGTATTACTGACCTTCAGTAGGTAAGAGCTAGCATGCTGCTAAACACTCAACGATGTCAATAGTGTCTAGGTTGAAAAAACCCTGGTAATTTTCAAACTTGCCCAGTTTCTGATTCAGGAGGTATGGGGTGAGGCCTGAGAATTGCATTTCTCATAAGCTCCCAGGTGATGCTACTCTCTGTTGGACCAGGAACCACACTTGGAGAACTATTGGTCTGCATTTTCAAAGAAGTCATCCCCAGAAAATGACGTGTAAAGGCCCAGCGAGCATTAGCTGAAGAAAAAGGGAAAGATAAGCTTTTGCATGAAGTTTGTGCAAAAACGCGGGAGTAGGAAGTTTTGTCATGTTCAAGTAGCTGAAATAAACAAACATGGGGTTGAATGAAGCTGGAGAGGGAGCCAGAGAGATTGTGCAGGGCTATTGTAGAAGCATGGTCTCTATTCCATTGAAAGCTACGGAAAGGCACTGAAGAGATTTTTAGCAGGGGGTTGGGGAAACTTGACTGGGCAGTTGGGGTGAAGAGTAAAGTAAAATATGTTGCCTGTAGTTTAATATAATAAAAGAGCATGGCCTTTGGAACCAGACAGTCCTGAATTTCAATTCTAGTTAAGCCTCTTTGCTAGTTATATGATCAAGGGCAAATCATTTAACTTTCTGTGAGCCTCTGTTTCCTCTCTGTAAAATGGAACCATTCAGACCTACGTCACTAGATTGTTGTGAGAATAAATGAGATCATGTTTGTAAAAGTGTCTGGCACACAGGAAGGCTCAACAAATGTTAATTCTCTTCCATTAATCATCAACGATGAAAGGATCAGGGGCTTCTCCAGGACCTAATTTGCATCTCAAAAAGCACACAGTAAAGCATGATGTCAACAACACAGGTCTGTCCAAAGAGTGCTTGTATCACCTGTGTGTGCCAAATGTATGTCAGGGCCTGCTGCTGGCAAGTTTAAGGGCAAATTAGGCAACCACCAACCCACGCAAAAAGGCTGCAAAGCTAATGCTAGGTTTGCAGATACCATCACAGAACTCAGGCCAAAATTACCTAATTTATTGACATTTGGATACTTCCAGAGGCTCTTTTACCAGGTCCCTTATTGTTTTGTAGCCTGACAATGGGAAGGAGAAACAGTGCTTAAAACCACAATAAATAATAATAATACTTAGCACTTAAATAACCTCCGCCATCTTCAAAGCCATTTACAAACACTCACAAATTAAGACTCGCCCAGTCCCAGCCTTGGGAAAGTGTCATTATCTTGGTTTCTTCCATACAGCACAGAGGATGAACCAGTAGAGTTGTCCAAATTCTGGCCACTTGGCTTGAGAATCAGCTGCTTTAATTCAATCCAGGCATCACTAGTGGGCCTATTCTAGAAGAATCTGGGCATTTCTTTGGATCATAGAGTAGTACAGAATGTTTGATGAGAAGAGTAATTCCACTTTACAAGAATCCTTTAAAATAATAAATAAAGAAGGTAGAGGAAATGTTTGGAGGAGATGCGTAGGTTTATGGCATAGATTGTGCTATGGTTTTACTTCATCAAGTTGTAAACATGTGTAGCTTTTTGTATGTCAATCACACACTCAGTGAAGTGATTTTAGATAAAAGAAAAAATCCCTTGTGAATCTAATTTTGCACAGAAGTACCCAGCACAATCTGAATTAGACTTAACTGGAAGGTTGGCTTTTTGGCCAACAAAGTGCTGTCTCTGAATCCCCAACTCTCTTACTCTACCATCTCCCAGAAAACTGAGTGAATGTCAGGATTTTTGCATGTGTCTGATAATTATGTAATTAATAATGATAATATCTCAAAGTTTCCTCATCTGTAAACTAGAGATAATGGACCACAGGGTTCTTGTGAGGACAAAGTATGAAGAATGCCAGGGTGGCAATCAACACAAGAAAGCTTTCCTTATCATTGTTGTGGTTGATACCATTGCCATTAGATTTTTATTATTTTCCATATATTTCCCATATGCTGTGTCTTACAGGGTTCATCACAGTCCTCTTGTAGAGGTAAGCAGGTAATATTACCCTCTGCGGAAATGTGGGCTCAGAGAGAGAAAACAGACTCACCTAAAACCACAGAGCTCATCACTGTCAGAAGAGGGAGGAGCCCACGTGCTGTCTTTATATCATCCCTGCTTCATTCATAATTCCTCTCTTCCTTCTTCTGTGCTAAGCACTCCATTCCATTTTCTCCTTCAAATCCTCCACCCACAATATTTAATCTCACTTTTACAGGAAGCTCAGCATCTGAGAAGTTAAGTAAGATGTACAAGGGAGTGCTAATGTGGACCTTAGGATCTGGGTCCAGGTCTATCTGGCCCTAAAACCTGAGCACTTAATCAGTGCAATAGACCAGAAAACAATCTACAGAAAAAGACTTTTTAAGTCTAGCATGTTTTCATTCTCTCCCTCTACACATTCCAGGCAAAGAATGGCATCTTTTATTTTTGCTCTCGTAACTCCACAGCAACTCTAGACATTTATTGAGCCCCTATTATGTGCCATACACTGTACCCAAGGTCTATGGAATATCTTCAAGGATCTTGTACTCAAGAAGCTTCATGTCCAGTGGAAAAGGTGAGCATCAGCTCTTACCACTGCTCCTCAGAACCAAGATTGAGAAAGGATCATTCAAAATGGCCATGGCTACAATTCTGGATCTCGGAAATGCCAACCATCCCCACCTTCACCCCTACTCCTGTGCTACCAAGGGCATGATGATTTAGAAACAGAATCAGACAACTGCATAAGACGGTCCTCATTTGTCTCAAGGTATAAGGTATTTGTTCTCAAGGAAGTCCTGTATGCTTATTTCAAAGTGGATTATGTTTTCTAGTCTATTGCACTGATTAAGTGCTCAGGCTTTAGGGCCAGATAGACCTGGACCCAGATCCTAAGATCCACATTAGCGCTACCTTGTACATCTTACTTAACTTCTTAGATGCTGAGCTTCCTGTAAAAGAGAGATTAAATATTGTGGGTGGAGGATTTGAAAGAGAAAATGGAATGGCGTGCTTAGCACAAAACTGGGCACATGGTAGGTCTCCATAGATAGCAGCTATTGTCATTACTGTTACATTATTATGCTATTGTTGTTATTATTAAACCTCTATTCTTTACACAAAAATTGTATTAAATCCGATTGCAAAGTTTGGCAATGATGCTGCTAATATCTCTCCTATAGATAATCTTAGTGCAAACTCACTGGTTATCAATGAAGTCCTTGAAAATAATACAACTATCCATGATATAGTTGCAGAGATTAAATTTTTTTAATTCTTTGTGCTTTTTGGCAGAACTGCAAAGCTCAGAAATAAGGAGCCAACTCAAAGGAACGGAGTTGTTAGAATGAGAGAGAGTGGAAATCCCAGCTCTGCACCTTACTAGTTGTGTGATCTTGGGGAACTCAACTCTTTAAAGACTCTGTTTTCTCTTTTATAAAATGGGGACAATAAGATCAACTTCCCTGGGTTATTGAAGAGCTAATAAAATAATGTGTGGCATTTTACAAATCCTAATAAAATACCTATGATTAGGTTTTTACTGTTCTTAAAATATGGATGGCTTTAGGTAAAAAGACACTGGAGAATAAATTAATAACTATTTTATAAATATAGTTATATTGTAGATAAACTCTTTTAAAATAGATAGACAATTGCTGATGGAAAAAATAATGGAAGGGCTGCTTGTAGTAAAAGGGTAGAAAGGAATGCATCATAATCGTTAAATGCCTTTTGTGTGCCATACAAATAGCATGATATTAATAGCATGATATTAATAGCATGATATTAATTGCATGATATTAGTAGCATATTAATTGCATGATATTAGTAGCATATTAATTGCATGATATTAATTGCATGATATTAATTGCATGATATTAATTGCATTAATTGATTAATAGATCTAGACAGAACTGGGTTCAAATCCTAGTTCTCCTGTTTCTTGGCTGTGCAGCTTTAGATGGTTACTTAATCTCTCTGAGCTTCCTGATCTATAAATGAGATAACCAATATCATCTACCTCATAATGTTTTGGTGAAAACTTAGGGCATGAAAAGTACTTACACTGTACCTGAGAAATATCAGGCACTACATAAATGTCCCCTTTATTTTGACTCTTATACAAAAAAGAGGAAAAACAACCTAGTTAAAGTTCTCTATGTCTTTTAAGGGGTAGAATACATTTGTCTCAGGCAGAGCAGCAGTTACAAGAGTAACATCTGAAGATGCTACACTAAGTGAGAGAAGCAGAGGCATGGAATTGAAATCCTCAGTGCCTTTATATCAGAGAACTGCAACAAAGAAAGCAGAATCAAGGCTGGGTCCAACATGAGGGTAGCAAGACACTATACTGCCTGAAATGTCACTGCAAGCAGGGTGATCTTATATCCCAGTCTGCCCAGGCATTACAGTTATCTTTTGATACATAACCAAGCACCCCAAATTTATGTCTTAAAAGAGCATAATTTTGTTCAAGCATTTGCAATCTTGGCAGGGCTCTGCAAAAAGAAAGGAAGGAAGAGGAAGGAGGGAAGGGAGAAAGGAAGGGAGGAAGGAAGGAAGGAAATAAGAAGGAGAGAGAGAGGAAGGGAGGAAGGAAGAGAAAGAGAGAGAGGGAGAAAAAAAGAAAAGGGAGGAAGTGAGATAGGGAATAGACGATCGGTTGAAAGATAGAGATAGATAGATGATAGACAGATAGGTGATAGGTAAATAGGTAGATAGATAATTGAAAAGTTACAGAAGGGCAGAATTGGCTTGAACTCAAGAAGAAATTCTGAGGACTACCCCAACTTTGGTGGGCTCCAAAGGAAAGAATTCCTCTAGGGACCAGAGGTTGAAAAGTGACCTCTGACATCCTTTCCAGCTCTCAGATTCTGTGACCCTCTCCAAAGAACAGACGTGGTGGTGATTAACATTCCCTTTTTCCCAAGATGGGTGGTGCACGCTTTCATCTTTCAATGTTTATAAATGCCTTTGAAGGTGGAATGTGCCACATACATACTAAGAGCTATTATTAATATGGTGCCCAAACACCTCTCTCCACATGATAGTCAAAGAACAAAGCATTAGGGGTGCAAGTAAGCATGTGTGTGCACACACTCCAATTGAGGAATGTTCTTTATTCTCACCCTGCCTTGGGAGAGGCAGGATATGTCACAGAGGCCAGAGATGGAGCAGAATCAGGGACATGCAAGTGTCGAAAGGGAGAATTCGATGACAAGCTTGGAACATAATTGATCAATGCAGTTATCAATGCAGTTTTTATTTCTCCTATTTGCTATAGACATGAGCTAAGCACAAAAGAAAATGTAAAAATGTCATGGATACAAGGTCCTGCACTGGAGGACAGATATGACAAAGACATTGAGTCAGTATCTTCTGAAGTCTACTCTCAGAAGATACACTTAAAGACCAGTAGACCAAGTCCCAGATGCAGATAACCCACCAGGACTGAGCAAGGAGAGATCTTGTTTATAGAACACCAGGGATAGGTCATCTAAAATTTTTGCTGCAATTGCAGAGGTCATGTTTCTAAAACATTTTTGTTCATGAATACTTTAATCCCATGAAAGTTATTAACCCCCTTCCCAGAAAAATACACATGCAAATGAAATCTTGCATGAAGTATGTGTGGAATTCACAAATTTCCAAAAGCTCTGTCTTCCCTGGGCCCTTTTCTGTAGCTCTTGTGTAGCTGTATACTCTAAATTTTGAAATTATCTAACTCTGATCAGATTCAAAGCAGACAACAGATCTCCACCTCCGGATTCTGGGCATCCAGCTCAGTGCCCGGCAAGTCATGCACCTAAGATAAGTGCTTGTTTAATGGATAAACACGGAATTAAAGTATTTAAAAGAACAAGGAATCCTCCTTTAGCTGTATCTCTAAGGGTCTTTTTTATTTGTTTTATTTTTGGGTTGTTTTTTAATACTTCTCAGGCATTTGACCACCATAGGTTAGCAAGCCAAGAACAAATAAATGAATAAGTGAATCACCCAGAATTATTTCAAGAACAAAGGAAGGTTGAAACATTTGCTCTCTTACCCCCAACACAGGATGCAAACTCTGTCTTGAAGAGCTCTAAGGAACTATGTGTAAACTGCAAAATTCACACCTAACATGGCAAAATTGAAGAAGTCTGTTTTCAGAAATCCCAGAAAAATAGCAAAGCAGAACAAGTCAAGCCCTTGATCTATCTGAGCAGAATCAGCCACGGTAGACTTCTTAAGCTTTCAAAGGTTCCTCCATCGTGAAGAAATGGGAGTAGGTCGCGCTTAAATTCACCACCGGCTGTAAATGTTGCCAGGATAAACCCTTCAACAAGACAAGCGCCCCTGGCAACCATTCACTGGAAGAAATGGATCCTATCACTCAAGCAAGGTCCTCATTTACAAAAGTCAAGATGGCCAGAGAAAGAGAGGCAAAGACGAGAGAGAGTAAACGATTGAGGGTAGCAGGGCGAGAGGGACAGAGGAAGCCTTCAGGTCAAGTCTTCCGGCTTCCTCTCTTTCTAAAGTAGTCATTCCCCTTCAAGAGGTAAATAAAATAACACCATATGGGTATGACATTATGCAAATGAGGAGTCGGAGAGAAGACACCCTAATAGCTACTGAGAGCCAGATACCCAGATGGGAAGCTGTGCGGTGTCTCATCTCCGGGGGCCCTCACTCCGTGCCCAGCACCTTTGCATGCTGGTCCAGGACTTCAAGCCTTGAGGGCTTCCAACTTCCGGCCACCTTGAGGGGCTTTTTAGTAAAGTGCCACGAAGATAAAATTAGAAACCGGGCTTCCTTTTTTTTCCCCCGTCACTCTATTAGTTACACATAAATCAGCATCAACTGAGAAACACGCCCTCCCAATTTTCAATGACAGACACAAGAGTAGGCTGGGTTTTAGCCACTACCTCCAGGCTGCCTCTCAGATCCTCTCCACCTGCCACCCCCAAAACAAAAGAAAACCATGCCCCTCACCCCAGCATTCTCACCATTTCATCTGTTCCCTCTTCTTTCTAAATGTGTGACCCATAGAAAATAGCTCAAGTTCTTTGACCCTCATCTGTGAAATGAGAATTAAAAAAATCTGTCCACTACAGGTACACAAAAAAGATGATCAACATCGCTAATCATCAGAGAAATGCAAATCAAAACCACAATGCGATATCGCCTCACACCTGTCAGAATGGCTATCATCAAAAAGAACACAAATAACAAATTGTTGGCAAGGAAGTGGAGAAAAGGAACCCTTCTGCACTGTTGATGGGAATGTAAATTGGTGCATCCACCGTGGAAAACATTATGGAGGTTTCTCAAAAAACTGAAAATAGAACAACCCAGCAATTCCACTCCTGGGTATGTATCTGAAAAAAACAAAAACACTAACTGAAAAGATACACTCACCCCAATATTCATAGCAGCATTATTTACAATTGCCAAGATATGGAAGCAATCTAAGCGTCCATCAACAGAAGAACGGATAAAGATGTAGTGTATATATACAGTGGAATGCTATTCAACCATAAAAAGAATGAAAATTTGCCATTTGCAACTTGGATGGACTTGGAGAGTATTATGCTAAGTGAAATAAATCAGAGAAAGACAAATGCTGTATGATATCACTTATACATGGAAGCTAAATAATACAACAAACTAGTGAATATAAGAAAAAAGAAGCAGACTCATAGATATAGAGAAGAAACTAGTGGTTACCAGTGGGGAGAGGGAAGGGGCGAGGGGCAAGATAGGGGTAGGGAATTAAGAGGTACAAACTATTATGTATAAAATAAGCTACAAGTACAACATGGAGAATATAGTCAATATTTTATAGTGACTATAAATGGTGTATAACCTTTCAAAATTGTGAATCACTGTATTGTACACCTGTAACTTATATAATACTGTATAGCAACTATACTTCAATAAAAGGAAAATATTCTTAAAAAGGCTGTCCACCTGCAGAGTTGCCCTTATAATTGAGTGAGGTTTGGCAGCAAGCTGGTCACCAACTGCTTAGTGAAGATTGTTGTATGCAAATCATCATGAGTCCAGTTGGTTTATAACCCCAAATTCAGCCTCAAATATGATCCCCAAGGGCAAGGTCTTGTCACTCACTATAGGGGCTTTCAGTCTTGCAGGTGATCAAAAAATGCTGCAGATGCCAGAGATGGGAATAAAAGATTCATTGATCCTTTTCTTTCCTCAAGGCTGCTTTTTGTGCCATTTATGTTTATTGAGAGAAGAAAATGAGGGCAGAAGTTTCATAAGAGTTGTTTTTTTGTTGGTCATTTTGTTGTGTTTTTGTAAGGGTCAAGGCTTGGTTCATTTGTATGTGATTTACATTCGCTTTTTGGAGACCGTAATTTTGTTAAGTTAGCCTGAGATGGAGCAGGGTGAATCATGGAACCCGCAGCATCTATGCAAAGCCTGCCTCTGACAGGTGAGGTCTGCAGGACGTCCTGCTCAGCTTCCTCAAGTGTGACCACACTCAGGAGATGCTCCTTTGTGAATGTTACTAGATGAATGTTATTGTTCTGCTGTAAAGTTTAGAAGTGTATTTTAAATAATTATTGATAAGTATTGATACCTGTTTTCCATTTAATGTAGAAAGAGCGACTTTTCTTCTGTCATATTTCTATTTAGGTTTTTAAAAAGTTACTCTAAAGAAAATATAAAATGAACAGTAATACAGATGGTATCCAACTGAGTCAAAAATCTTGAACTGGTTCTCCAATGATAATTTGTATTTGAGAAACCATGGGTGAGTAGAGAAAACTTTGAAGAAAAGAAAAGCTATCTGGGCTCCAGTTCTAGCTCTAGTGATTTTTCTGTGAAAATGTAGGCATACCATATTACATCTCAGTTCACAGATTTTCCAGTCAGTGACAGTGAGGATGATGCTACATGATGGGAGATAACTTCTTCTCTCTCCTTCATTCCACTCATGAAAAGCATCCTTATTCTTTAAGAGTTACCCTACCCAACGACTCTTTGTTCAAAAAATGTATTAACTAACTTATTGTGGTGATCATTTTGTAATGTACACATATATCAAACCATTATACCTTAAAATTATGCAATGTTATATCTCAATTTTATCTCAGTACAGCTGGAAAATAATTGTTTAAATATTTTAAAATACACACACACACACACACACACACACAGAATAAGGGGTTGAATGACGATATGAAAGACTTGCTTTTCCAAGAAAAGCATACCATCAAGTTTCCAGAAAAGAGGAATTTGTTGGAAACCCATCACCCTCTGTTGTAACATCAGTCTCGATCAGAACAATATCAGTTTTTATCGAGGAGCTGCCATTTAGAGCAGAGATCTGTAAACTACAGCCCATGGGCCACATCTGGCCAACCACCTGTTTTTGTAAGCAAATTGTTATTGGAACACAGCCACATTTGTTCAGTTACATATTTTCTATGGGTGCTTTCATGCTACAATGGCTGAAGCCTGACTCAACTAATACAATAGACAATATAACTGGCTTGCAAGGCAGGAATCAGTCACCTCCAGCCTGTGAATTCCTCCTAATAAAGAAGAAAGCTGAAGGGTCAGTAACGAGGGGTAGTTTATTCGGTGCACGCCTCCTCATTTTGCCTGTTTGACATTCATGAACCAATGCGGTCAGAGAGAATATTACAGCTGGTATGGGAGCAAGATATATCATAGGACCTACCCCCATTCATCAGAAAATAAATCCCCACTTGTAAATGTTTTCCTAATTCCATCAAGATCACAAAAGATTACTAATACTACAAATCAATGTTATTAAAATGATATTTAACTCAGTAAATTGCATGAATGATCAGTAATGCTGAAAACCAATATCTTAAGCCCTCAAAGGACCTGCAGTTTGACTTCTGAGTCTAAAAGAGGCATTAAGTCTACGCTTAACAGCCAGTGAACCCAGGGAGGGGATGAGAAGGTAAGGAAACTGGAGATTCGTGAATAAGACTCTGAGTAAGTGAAAAAGAAGACTCTTTGACTCTTCTTAAGTCTTTGAGGTTGCACTCATTGGGAAATTGCATTATTGGTCAAGAGATATTCACTCTCCTTGCTCCAACACCATGGACAGGGCATAATTCCCAGCCTCCATGACTGGGCTTGGCCATGTGACTTACTTTGGCCAGTGGGCTGCAGGTGGGAAACGATAGGAGGTCAGTTTCAAGCTTTGTGTATTTCTAATCTATCTCTCCCACTCCTGTATTCTCCATGAGAAGTGGATGTCCAAGTGTCTGCTGCTGCTTCAGCCTGGGTCCAGGAATGAGAGCCACGTAGAGTACTTCTGAACCTGAAGTGCAGACAAGACCCAGTCCACAGACCGAACCTGACCAGAAGGCCCATAAGCAAGAAGTAAATCTAGTAGTGAGAGGCCACTGATATTGGGGGTTATTTGATGCTACAGTAAATCTGACTAACACAGGTCACTTCTTTGCCAATGAGGCTGTGGAAATGGTACGTTTATTATCAAATTTGTAAATTAAACACTTATGAAAGCTTGAACAGTAACTAAATGCCCATTATTTCATTTTGCACATAAGGAAGCTGAGATCGGAGAGTGAGTTGCCCAAAGGCTCTAACAAGTCAGTGGCAGAGCAAAGAGAACAGGATTCCTGCCTTGTAATACCTAATTCTTACCCTGGAAGTTTGAGGATCTGAAAGATCTGGTTTAAAACCCCACCTCTGCAAAGAACTAGTGCATGCCCTTGAGAAAATCATTAAATCTCTCTAAGGCTTGGGTTTTCCATCTGTTATATGGAGATAACACTACTACTACTTCAAAAGATAGCTCTAGAATTAAATTAACACAGATAAAGAACATGGTACAACATGTGGGACAATGAAAGCATGCAATAAATATTAGCCATTAATATCATTATTATTATTACTGGATCCCCAAAAGATGGTCATTTGGCCTACTTTTTGAAAATCAACTTTATTGGGGAAAAGTATGCATGCAATAAAATGTACCCCTGTTAAGTACATGGTACAGTTTGGTGAGTTTTAGCAAATTTATACATTCATGCTATCACCATCACTATCACGATATAAAACGTGTCCATGACACTAGAAAGTTCCTTTCTAACCGTTTAAAGTCCATCTGTCCCAGCCCCAGTCCCAGGCAACCGCTAGTCTGCTTTCCACTAATTTGGGATGTCATTATAAATGATTGTTTCCTGTTCTAGACTTTTATGTAAATGGAATACTGGTATATGTGTTTTGTGTCTGAATTCCTCTCCTCAACGTATGTTGAGATTCTTTCATGTTGTCGAGAATATCAATAGTTTATTCTTTTTTATCGTGAGTAATATTTACCATTGCACGGGTATATTACCATTTCTTTATCCATTCACTTGTTAACAGGCAGTTGGCTTGTTGTTCCATTTGGGGGCTATAATGAATAAAGCCGCCCTGAACATTTGTGTACAAGTCTTTTTGTGGACACATGTTTTAATTTCTCTTGGATAAATATCTAGGAATAGGATGGCTGATTGATGATATGTGAGTGTTGATCTTTATAAGAAATTGTCAAAGACCCCTTCAAAGTGATGATAGTATTTCATGCTTTCACCAGCAAGGCGCAATAACTCCAGTTGCTCACATCCTCACTGATACTTGATATGGTCAGTCTTTTTAATCCCAGCCACTTTAATAAGTACATTGGTAACTTATTATGGTTTAAGTTTGCATTTCTCTGATGACAAATTAGGTAGTGTATCTTTTCTGATATTTATTTGCCATCATTATATCTTTTGTGAAGTGTCAGTTCAAAACTTCTACCCATGGAGAGAAAAGGGCAGGTACTTTATAATTATTATTGAGTTGTAAGAGTTCGTTATATATTCTCGCTATATATAGTTCTTTATATATATTCATATATATATGGCAAAGGGCTTTTGTTTGATTTTTTATATATATTTTACTTTTATATATATTTATTTTTATGTATATTTATTTTATATATATTTTATTATATAATGTATGATATATATATATATATATATATATATATATATAAAGAGAAAAGAATATTTTTCTCCAATCTGTACATCCAGCCTATTTTAAACATACTAAGGAAATGTCATTCTCCTCCAAGACAATTCTGAAGTTTGATGGCTCTATGTATTAGGAATCTTGGGCTTATGTAGAAAAAAGACCATTTCTTTATAGCAAGGATTGACAGACTACAGGCAAGGGCCAAACCTGGCCCACAGCTTGTTTTTGTGAATAAAGTTTTATTGAAACACAGCTATACTCATTCGTTTACATATTGACCGTGTCTGCTTTTGTGCTACAAAGGCAGGTTGAATAGTTGCAACAGAGACCACAGGGCTTTAAAGCCTAAAGTATTTGCTATCAGTCCCTTTACTGAAAAAGCTGGTCAACTGTTATTTTATAGCATTGGCCTGTTTGTTCTAATGCAGCTTTTGGATAACAGAAAAGAAATCTGTCACCTCCTTCAAGGATTTAAGACAACTTTTCTGTCTCCCCTTCTTTTCTTCAGGCTTAATAAATATCTCTCACCTTTTCCCAAAATAGGTTTTCAAGCACCAACATCATCTTTGCCTTCCTTCAGCTTGTCAGTTCCTATTAAATTGCCAACCCCAAAGCTATCATAGTCTTCCTTGTGATCAAATCATTACAGGAAATGGGAAAACCATCTACTCCTTTAACTTGGACTACACAGGTTTTTAACAACCTCAACCTATGGCTTCAATTAGAAATGTGGTCAGTTATAACCCCAAGTGTTATTCTACTGAGAGAGATCTCTCCCAAGATTCTTTACTCATTCGCCCATCAGTTCATTCAACAGACATGTGAAGTGACTCTTGTGTTCCATGCATTGTATAAATGGTTATTTAAATCCAGATGCAAGATGCTGGATTCATACCTGTTCAATTCTATGAACTATGACTCGCATTCCAGCATGTCATCTATGGCGTGGGCTATTGTTAAGATTATCTGTTATTCTGCAACAAACTGCTCTAAATGCAATGTGTAAATAAAACGGTAACAATTTACATAGTTCATGAATATGCAATTTGGACCAAACTCAACAGAGAAGGCTCATCTCTGTTCTATGTGGCATCGAGTAGGGTCCTCAGGCACCTCTCTCTCCACGTGGTCTCTCCAGCATGGCCAGGGTAGCCATCCAAAAGCCATGTCTTAAGAGACAGCCAGATTGAAGCTGCATCACTGTTTCTAGCCTAGTGTTATAAATGACTTAAGGTCGCTTCTCTCACATTTTATTTGTCAAGGTGGCCATAAATTCCTGCCCCATTTCAAGCCAGAGGGAGAACTAGACTTCACCTCTTGATGGCATGTGAAAGAAGATGTAGACAGGTCTTAAAACTGCCACAGCTACCATCACTCTAATTGGAATGATGGTTCTCAAACCGGGGCCATAAGGAGCTCTGAGAGTCCACGAACTGAATTGAGTTTCTCCACTGTAAGGACAGAACGTTAACATCTATTCTCCTAACCATCCTTCTCAAGAAGTAAATATTTATTTCTGTGGATCTGCGTCCACTTAGGAGGCTCAGAAGCAAAAAAACAAAGCATTCCACTGGCCTGTGTAAAACAGGCTCTTTCAAGTTACTTTTCTCCAGTCTGGAATCTGTGGCCTGGAGCTCAGCCTCAGGAAGACGACCTTGATGTCTTTATGATTAAATTCAAAGAGGAGAATAAATGTTCCTGCTCTCCTTGGGCCTCTGAAAGATGCCGTGAAATTTTGCTGATGTAACTGGATAAAAGGAGCTCTTTATAATACGTAAATTTTGCCAGCATTGTCTCCTTAGACATCTTTTCAGGCTGGCAGAGAGGTAATGCATCCTGAGTGCATTTAAAGTGAACTGGGCTTTTCTATTTTTAACTAGCATTATTTTTTTAAATGTTAAATATGAATCCTATTACATTACTCAAGGAAAGGTGGATGGAAGTTTGAAATAGACCCCAGAATTGTTCACTTAGAAGCAGTGAGCGTGCTAAGGAGTACAGGCACGTGAATTTTGAAATTAATATCCCAGCTCCAATGACATCAGTATGAAACCTGAGGAAATCAGGTAACCTCTTTGTGCCTCGGTTTCCCCACTTGTCAAGTAGGAAGAAGCCAATGATAAGTACTCACCAATGTTCCAAGTGACTTTCAATAAATGTGGAGGGCAGAAATGCTTCGGGATTAACTTCTACCCTCCGGGCCCCAACAAGGAAAAAGAAAGTGCAAATTAGAGCAAACGTGGGACTTAGAACTAAAAATTCTGCTTCCAAATAGCTTTATGTAACCTCTCTGAGCCTCTGTTTCCTCATCTATAAACTGCAGGTGGCCATCCTTGTATGGCCCATATCCCAAGGCTACTGGGCTAATCAGATGAGATAATGCATGCAAAAGAGCACCATAAACCGTAATAGCCTCTGCATCTGCATCTGTCAATGGCAGTGTTAGAAAAAAAAAAAAAAAAAGATGTGCGAGTTGATCAGGTTCTAAGGTAATAATATTGAGAAAGTGGGAAGAAAGGGCAGGAGGTGGAACTCAGCTGAGCTCTCGCCTTTTGGTCTGAAGCGATAAAACAAAATATCTGGAGCATGCAGTGATGTGATTACTGGACATGTATTCTACGAGACAGCAGAAAGGGGAGAGGAGGAAGGGTAGGGCTAACTCGCTCGGATGGAGGACCAGCTCTATCCATACCAGGCAATGGTATGAATCCCGTTGCCTGGTTCGGATCCTGAATACAGCACTTCTAAGCTGCAAGACCTTGGCAAGATAATTAAACATTCTGTGGGGCTTCCTTGGTGGCGCAGTGGTTGAGAGTCCGCCTGCCGATGCAGGGGACACGGGTTCGTGCCCCGGTCCGGGAGGATCCCACGTGCCGCGGAGCGGCTGGGCCAGTGAGCCATGGCCGCTGAGCCTGCGCGTCCGGAGCCTGTGCTCTGCAACGGGAGGGGCCGCAGCAGTGAGAGGCCCGTGTGCGGCAAAAAAAAAAAAAAAAAACATTCTGTGCCTCAGTGTTTTCATCTGCAGAATTGGGTTAATAATTGTGCCCCTCCATGGAGTTGTCGTGAAGATTATATTAGTTACTGCAAGTGCTTAGAACTTGAGTGCTTCCGATGAATACTCAGTATATGTTATATTTATTCATTCATTTATTCCACTCAATTAACACATATCTATTGAGTGTTCAATCTGTGCCAATCCCTGTTTTAGGAACTGGGCATATAGTCATAAGTAAAACAAAATGCCTGCCCTCAAGTAGCTTGGAGTGTGTTCTAGAGCATTTCCAGAAAGACAACAGATGAATTCTTATACAGGATGTCAATTCAGGGCTCACCTGGCAGTCCAGTGGTTAAGACTTCACCTTCCAATGCAGGGAGTTCGGGTTTGATCCCTGGTCGGGGAGCTAAGATCCCACATGCCTCGCGACCAAAAAAACCAAAACATAAAACAGAAGCAATATTGTAATAAATTCAATAAAGACTTTAAAAATGGTCCAATCAAAAAAATCTTTAAAAAAATGTATGTCAGTTCATGATAAATACGATGGATAAAAGTAAGATGGGGTACAGGGGATATGAGATTAAGGGGTTGCAATTTCAGGTAGAGTGGCCAAGGAGACTTCCTTGATCTCTGATATATTGAACATGTAGGCACAGGTACGGTGGGCTGCCCAGATACACCTCAGGATGTAGGCACTCATCCCGCCTACTACCAGGACCTCTAGCTGCTGCTGCAAGACTCAGTCAAAGAGAGCTTTCATCCCAGACCATTTCTCAGAAGGCAGCCTGCATCTGTGACCGGCCAACATGGAAGTACAAAAGCCTAACCATTTGTCCTCAGCTGGGACAACTCTGAAGGGCCATCGCAGCTCCCTGTGGGGTTGCTGGACATCTCCATTGAAACTGCATCATGGTACAGCTTCTCCCTCTGCCCAGTCTAGCATCCCTCCCCATGTTGTCGTTGTTTCTGAGCTCACTCCCCAGTTAGCCTCCTCCACACAACCCTCAGAGACCTAGACTCTCTTTCCCAGGAAATCTGACCTATGACGAAAGCTAAGTAACTCGTACAATATCTTTCAGCGTGAAGCGGTAGAGCAAGGATTTACCCCGGGGCTGCCTGCCTCTGTGGTTTGGGGCCTCTCCTGTTGTTATCAGCAGTGGTGCACATTCCATTCTGTTCCAGCCAGTGAGGCAGCAGGAAACTTGGAATTTCTGAGCAACCCAGAGCACGAGGGTGGGTGTAGCTGTGGATAAGAAAAGGAGAGGAGGTGTTAATTTCAAGAGCAGAAGACATTAAATTGAAACCCAATGACGATGAAAATGCACCAACACATTTTGAAAAGAAACTTGTGATATTTTAGAATTTGACTCATTTTTTGCTATAGATTCCTAGTGCTTTTGTAATAGGTGTACAATGGTTTAGTTTATATATTTGAAAAATAAACCTCTTTCCAACTAAGTTCTAGCTTTAGTTTGGTTTTCTATCAAGTCTGTTTTCATACATTTTAGAATGCCATTTATATCTTGGGATAAAGTTACTTTGGGGAGCCCCAAAATGTGAACTTCCTCCTAATCTCAACGACGTATTTATTTTTATATCTGGATGCCTTGAAGGATACCTGCCTTTGGTTCAGCCTGCATCCCAGACACAACAGGTCCAGAAGCTGGCAATATGGTAAGTAGACATCCCAGACTGGGAAAAGGAACATAGAAATTCTTCAGGTGTTGGAAAAGTCTTCCTGAAGCAGTGTCACAAGCCACTGGAGAGGAATGTAGCAGACGAAAGAAAATTAGTCACTGTAGTAAAATCTTATGGAGAACAAAAACCAATAAAAACATCCAGGACCTGAGGAAAAGAACTAATTCCAAATTTACATAATTTTTTATGAGTACTTTGGACCCACGCTAGATGTATGTTTGCAAACTGCATTCTCACAATACCTCTATACGGAAGGGGATATTAAATTTACCTTAAAGTTGTGTAAACTGAGATTCATGGCAGGTAAGTGACTTCCCAAAGTTTATACTTGTGAGTTGAGAGTGAGTATTTCAACCCTGACTGGCCAACTCCCAGTGCCATGCCCAAAAGCAGGAATTCGTTTTTATGATGGTTGGAAATACAACTCAGGGGAAAAAAAATCCAGTTCTTTCATTGTCCTACTCTTTCCTGCCCTGAGATGCAACATTGTAACCCTTGTTAAACTCGAGCCAGGCAAGTGGATTCACCCTCTCTGGAGGTACAGTTGTTCCCGTTATCTGTGGATTTACTTTTTTCGGTTTCAGTTATCCATGGCTAACCTTGATCCAGAAATATTAAATGAAAAATTACAGAAATAAACAATCGATATGTAAATTTTGTGCCATTCTGAGTAGCTTAATGAAATCTCGTGCCATTCCACTCCATCCTGCCTGGGATCCCCAGCCATCACCATCATCTATCTGCTCCTGGCATCCAATCATCAACATCGACACAGTTCAATGATCCAGGATCACCCGAAACAGATGATCCTCCTTCTGAAGTATCATCAGAAGGTCGACAGGGGGCTTCCCTGGTAGCGCAGTGGTTGGGAGTCTGCCTGCCGATGCAGGGGACATGGGTTTGTGCCCCGGTCCGGAAGGATCCCACGTGCCGCGGAGCGGCTGGGCCCGTGAGCCATGGGCCGCTGAGCCTGCGCGTCCGGAGCCTGTGCTCCGCAACGGGAGAGGCCACAGCAGTGAGAGGCCCGCGTACCGCCAAAAAATTATAATAATAAAGAAGGTCAACAGTATCCTAACACTATGTCATAATGCCCACATCATTCACCTCACTTCTCATCATAGGCATTTTATCATCTCACAACATCACAAGAAGAAGGGTGAGTACCGTACAATAAGCTACTTTGAGAGAGAGAAAGAGGCCACATTTACATAACTTTTATTATGGTTCTGTTTTATTATTTGTTGTTGTTGTTAATCCCTTACTGTGCCTAATTGAGGAATTAAACTTTATCATAGGTATGTGTATAAAGGAAAAAACATGGTATGGTTCAGTACTATCTGTGGTTTCAGGGCAGCCACTGGGTTTCCTGGAATGTTATCCCCTGTGGATAAGGGCCAACTACTGTATTTGTAAAGACTAAAATCTCTTTTGCTCTCCCAGAATCTTTTAGACCTCCACTGTGGCATTAACATCAGTGGATGAACTCTGCATTAGCAGAGCTGACACAGAAAATGTTACAAAAATTTTAGTTGCACACCCACCTTTAGACAAGTTCCAGCCTCCCCTAGAGCCAATGAGAAGAATGATACATTGGTTCTTAGAAATGATTAAAAGAGAGGCCTAATGATATCTCTACTAATGACTCTGAATTTTACTTATGCAGTGTTGGCTTCTTTCCATTTCAGAATCTTGGATGAATGTCTAAACCCTGGTAATGCCTCAGAGCAAATGTTACCTAATCTCGAACTGAAGTTTATAAGAATTCAATGGAATCCTATCCGGCAGAGTATGAATTATTTTTATCTTCTGTTTTCCTTGAGTAGTGTGTCCTTGAACACTTAATCTCTCCAAGCCTCAGCTTCCTCACCTGCTAAATGGGGAGATCAATGGTCGTTCACTTATTATGCAGGGCTAACGAGAGCAACAAATGATCCCTTTGGTCTCATACTGGGTGTCGACCGCTTAATGGAAACAAATTCTAATCATGTTCCCTCCCCACTTCCCCATGCTCAGCAGCCTTTGCGAGTTGCCAGTTGCCCAGAGCAACCACTTGAGCTTGGTCCTCCAGACTTTTCACGAGCTGGCTTCTACCCCCTGCCTCTCCAGGCTCCACAGCACAACCTTCCTTCTCACCACAGTCAAAGATGCCATTCCTGAGACCCTTTACCGACTTTCACTTTGCATTGCTCTGTCCAGTCAGCTTCCTCTCTCTGAAAACCCCTTGCCCTTTCCTCTGTCTGCCTGGTGAAGTCAAGTTCATAATTGAAAACCCTACTCTCAAATGTTCCCCTAGAGAAACTTTCCCTGCCCCTCCCTGGCCAAGCCCTGAGCTCTATGGAACTTTGTCCATACCACCAGCCGCGACCAAAAGTGTTCTGGCCATACTCAAGGTTACCCCCTGGGATTAGCAGAATCACGATCCAGGTCTCTTGGCTCCCCTGCTCTCTTTCCACAGATGCTTCTGTGAAAAAAAATACAAAATTATTCTAGGAATTGTGGGAGACTCTGATGAATGCCCAAGACACTTATTCCATGTTTTACAGAGCTAATCTACCCAGTCATTCTAATAAAATTGTAGAAACGCAATTGACCAGATCCTATGACTCACCCACCGCTGGCTCTGGCTCCCTCAGATAAGGCAAAGAGAGCTGGGTACGGAGCTTATCCACATAATAAACCAGAACAAAAATGAACTCAGGGGCTGTAATTCCATCAAGGGTCTCTGATAGTGACAGAAACCCCCAGAGCAGGTTTCTGTGGTCACAGGAAAGACCACCTCCGTGAAATCATTAGTCCCTGCCATATTTGGCTTTGATTCTGACAGTGACAAGACTCACCAGATAAGCCCATTGGCTGCAGTAACAGATTGGGTTTGGGCAGCAAAGCTGTCCACAAATGAAGGATTCACTTTACGTCAATGAAAGCACATGAATCTCTGTTTAGTGGCACCTTGAGTCCACAACCTCGAAATAGAATTGCATCTCCTCCAACCAGAAAACCTTCCTGTATGCAAAAATTGAAATATATCAGGATGCATATAAGTCACAGGGAGAGAGCTTTGGCTGTTACATCCAACTAGCCATAAATTCTCATCAGGTATGGGATGCCAAGAGAATCTGTAGGCAAAGAGAAAGTGGGAACAAAGTGATGACTCTGCCTTAGAATAATAACATGGAGTCTTTTGCATAACATTGTACAACAATTATCTTGATAGATCCTCACAAAATCCATCAACGTAGGTGAGTAAGCAGCACAATTGTCCTCATTTCACACATAAGAAAAATGAGGCTCAAAGATTCTGAATGAATTTCCCAAAGTCACGCAGAGGAGAAGCTCAGGGCTAGAAACAGTCCCCAGTCTGACCCTTTTCCACTCCACTAAACAGCTTTCTACCCAGGGGCTTTCATGCACCATCAAATAGAGAAAATCAGAACCACTGAGCTTCTATAAAAGAAAATGGAAAGTACTACATTCCAAAGGAAACTGGTTGTTTCTGAAGCTATCAGGTGATAATATTTTGTATTATTAATAATAAATCCGGACTAGGTTTTCTCATCCAGACTTTTGGTCTTCACTCTCCATGGAATGTGTTTTACTAGGAAGAGAATAAAATGTATCTGGAAATGCATGGGATTTGGCATCAGATGTGGATCCAAACACCAGCTCTACTATTGACTAGCTGTGTGACTGAGGACACGTTAATTGCTTTGAATCTGAATTTCCTTATCATGAAAATAGGGATGATAATAGATTCATCAGAGAAATAGGGTAGGAAGTAAACAAAACAGCATGTGAAAAGTGCTCAACAGGGTGTACCTGGCACATAGTAAGTCCTCAAAAATGTCTGAATCTGGAGAAACAAACTCCTTCACCACATCACATCAGCTAATGATGAACAGAGCACTCACAAGCTCTTTTAAAGAGTGGCTTCAGGCAGTGCGGCCCCACCAGGGCACTGCTCTTTGCTCAGCGTCTCACATTTTGTGAAGCATGGGCACGTTCACGATTAGGGAATCAAATCATTGTCTTCAGATCTCTGTCATTGGGCGAGGAATTAAATCAGCCTTTTTATCCACCAGCAAAAGGGCAAGTCTTTCTTTTCTTTATTAATGGAGTTGCTGACTTATTAGTTCACATGGAACATGTCCTAAGCATCTGAAATAAACCCCAATACTGGGAAAGTGCTAGATGCCAGTTAAAATTTTGTGAGCACTGCTAAGTGCCAGTCTCTCTGTAAAGCACTTCCAGCCACATTGGCACATTTGAGCCTTGCAAGCATCCCTACAAGCAGATTCTCTCCATTTTACAAGTTAGGAAGTGGAGGCTCAGAGTCGCCCAAGGTCACACAGTACCTACAGTAGCTGAGCCAGGGTTCCACTTCTAATGTTCTTCCCCTTTCCTTTAGGACAAGGGGCTCACTGCCATACGGCTGCCAAGTCTCCATCAAAGTCAGCATCCAACAAAAAGTACCAAGAGTGAGCAGGGACAGATGAGAGTGAGAGAGGCCCCCATCACTGACTCACGACCAGGGGGAATCCGTGTCAGACCTTCATGCCCTCTGCCTCTTTACTTGTGAAATGGAACAGTACCTCACTTGGTTTAGATTTAAGTCAGTCTCAAATTACTAAGTGGCCTGATTCATTTCAGAATTTCGCCTGTGTAGTATGTTTCCCAGAAAGCCATTTGGAAGACTAGCCTTTCTTTAGGTTTGCTTTTTATTATTTTACTAAGAGAAAAATCTTCGTTGTTTTCACATTCACCCAAAATTTATGAAGTGAATGCTATGTGCCCGGCATTCTAACTAGGTTCTGGGGATAGAGAAGCCAACCAGAGAGACTCCATCTCTGCCCTCACGGAGCTGAGAGTCTACCGGGAAAGACTGGACTACTAACCACCCAACTGTAAAAGTGATTATATAATCAAAATTCTGATGACTGTCCCACAGGAGTTTAGAATGCAATGAGTGCTATCAAGGGACAGACCACAATCTCGGGGTCAAAGAGGGCTTCCTGAGAAAATGATGCTTCAAGGGAAAGCAGAAGGATGAGTACAAGTTGGCCAACTGAATGAGGGTAGTGGTACTCCAGGCAAAGGAAACAGCACTTGCAAAGTCATAGAGCCAAGAAGGAGCAGCTCTTCTTTGAGGAACTGAAAGGAGACCAGAGTGACTAAAGCACAGAGACCCAAAATGGAAGGAAAGGATATGAAAACCGGGCCAACAGAGGGACGGCATTGCTTTCAAAAGCACTCATCGGTAATGGCTTTAGTCATTGTGAACATACATACTCGGCCCCACGCACATGCTCTTGAATATAGCTGATACTTACAGATGTTAGACCTAAACAAACGAAGGGTTCAAATGATGAACTTTTTTTCTCCCTCTGTTCCTCTTCCACCTTCTATTCTTCTTGATCATGATCCTACTTTCTAAGTGTGGTAGGAAACAGAGAGACAACGAATTTCCTAAGAAACTGTAGGTGTTCAAAGGGTACAAAGTTCCAGTTATGAGATGAATAAGTTCTTAGGATGTAATATGCAGTGTGATGACTATAGGTAACAATACTGTGTTGCTTACTTGGAAGCTGGAAGAGAGTAGATCTTGAAAGTTCTCACCACGCACACCAAAAAAGGTAACGATTTGAGGTAATCTTATTGTAGTAATCACTTCACAATATACACACAGAGTGAGTCATCGCGTTGTGCACCTTAAACTTACACAATGTTTTATGTCAATTGCATCTCGATAAAGCTGAAAAAGAAAACAAAATTCAAAAACAGTGAAAAAAATCTGTTTTGCACAGCCTCATGGATGTCTCTAAGGGAACACGGTATAACCTTGAGCAAAAGCAATGCGTTTCAGGGAGTTTCCCTTTCTTCTGCAAAACTGGAGCGTTCAAACATCTCCGAGCACTTATAGGATTAAAGGGGGTGATGTACTGAGTGCAGTGACCGGCACAAATAGCTATGTGCTGAACGCCCCCTTCTTTCCTACCCACGTGAGGTAGGAAACAGGAAAGGTGCACTGGTTACGTGGGACTAACTGCCGTAACAAAGAAATTCTATGCACAATGGCTCAAACATGAGAGGAATTTACTTTCTGTTCACTCATGTCTAAAATGGGTGTTCCTGGCGGATGGCCAGATCTCTTCTGCACACAGTCCAGGGACCTTCATTCCCTCTCAAGTCTCCATCAGGTTCTTCTGCCTCAAGTTGGCAGAAAGGATAAAATGTGAAGGAGTACTGCCCACACATCATTCAGGCTTGAATATCAGGGCCCCGTTGCGTGGCCACACCTAACCGTAGGAAATCAAGACCCGCAGGATACCTGGGGGAGGAGAGGGAACGGGCGTAAGTGACTGGCCAGTCGTCTTGGCCACCCCACCAAGATGAGAGGGAGCTCTTTGTTACTAGCCTAAGTAAATTAGCGCACCTACAAGTAGGTACTACACACCTCCTTCCTGCAGCACTTCCTTGAAGGCTGGGGCAGGTGTGGCAATAGCAGTGAGTAGCGCCATTATGTTCCTCCCAACCTGGAGGCTCCTGAGAGCGTATTAGCAGCCTGGCTTCTCCCTCTCCTTATCTCCACAAGCACCCCGTCATCGGATTTGTTTGCTTTTCTCTCCTAAAATATGTGAAAATCCTTCCTTTTCCTGTGATTACCTCCACTGCCCTTTATCTTTACTCCCCTGATTCATGGCAACAGTTTCCTTACTTCATCTCTAGTCAGACTGGCTCCCGTCCATCTCATCGACTTCGGACTCCAGTCCACCCTCCTAGCCGGGGCCACCAAATGCAGTTGACACTGGCCTGCTTTAATCCTATTTGGCACATCGAAGTTTGCAGGATAACGTCCAAAGCCTCTAACCTGACAGCTGACAGGAAGCGGCCCTGCCTCCCATATAGCCTAATCCTTCTCTGAGTCCAGCCTTGTACCTACCTGTCCAGCACATTCTGTATGGTGTCCTGCGTACAGCCACCAGGCTGTTTCTCTCCTCCAAGGCCTCTTTGCTCCTGTTAACCTTCTACTGGTATGCATGTATTTAAAGTCCATCCCAGGCATCCCTAACTCCTGGAATCCCCCTGTGACCTTCACCTTGCTCCTCTGTGTTCTCAAGATACCCTTTGTATATATTTCTTGCTGAACTATCACTGTAGTGATAATGTTTATTGGTATTTCATCCACCCATCCCGCTATCCCTGAAACTCCAAGCAAGTCAACAATTTTGAGAGCCTTGAATGTCATTCTAAGGGCTTGGAAGTTAACCCTGGAATGTAAGAGGAATTGCTGAGGATTTTTGATAAAGGGAGCAATACAATATAATCAATATTTTAAGATAAATCTAGGGGGAGACCACAGGTAGATTATGGGAAGGACTAAATGGATGCAGGACTACTTGTATAGAAGGGAGAAGACCAATTCAACCAGATGTTATCTGTGTGACCTTGAGCACACCACCTCTCAGAGTCTTGTTTTATTTATGAACAAAGCGGAAATAATAAATCATGCCGAACCGTCTCACCAGGTCAATGTGAGGTCACTGCGGAATAATGTATACTAAAGTGCTTTATAAAGTCCAGTGAAATTATTAAGGCTAGTGGTTAAAATCCAAATAAATCCAAAGTGAGACATGCCTACCATGTCTTCAGTGTTGAATAGAGTCCCTTCTTGAAGTCAGATGCGTCCCCGGACTGCCCAGTATTCCCCTGTGCAATGCGAGGCTAAAATTACCCCTACTTGCCTGTCGCCCGTGAGCTGACTTCCAGTACCTGAAGGGTTGTCAGGCGAAAGAACGGGATTAACTCCATAGAGCTGTGTGACGGTTTCCAGGAGACAAATACTGACTCAACCTAAGGAAAACCTTTCTAACTGTCAGAGCCGCCCAAAGGCTGCCTGGGGCTGGGAGTGCAAGTGGGCCGTGAAACCCTTGAAATTAGAGATGATGAAAACAAAGCTGGGAGACCATGGAGGCAGAGTCCACACATCAGTGAGGTTTGGACTGGTCGGCTTCTAAATGTCCTTCCAATTCTAAAACCTCATTGTCTGCTGCCCCTGGGGACGCCTCTATAACTATGTGTGTTGCTCACATTGTCAGTTTATGACATGAGACAGTTGATTTGGAGTTTTCTCTCCTCCACTAGACTAGGGTCATCCAAGAGGCAAGGACTGAGCCTCCTCTAACTTGAGATTCTCAGTGCCCGCAGCAGCTTCCGGAGCACAGTAAACCCTCAGTAAGTGCTGGTGGAATGACTGGATGGACGAAGGAATTATGCTGGGGGTGTTGGGATGATGTCTTTAAGTTCCGGCTAAGATGAGTATTTCATAGTGAGGCTCGTGTGTGATGATGTTGGTCTAGATTGATACTTTCCAACTTGGAGTCTTTCAACTCCCAGAAGTCCTATTTTCAGTATTAAGAAAAAAGCTAATAAAAGTCTGGTGTTTGTCCATGTTACAGAGTGCCCCAAATTCGAAACCACCCAGTTTCTCTGCATTTAGCTGGGAATTTATCGACTTGGTGTGGTCACTCTTTATCTCCTATAGCAAACCATCACACCGGAACTTCAGACGTATCATCTCATTTAATCGTTTTGTGAAACCTGTATGTTAGGGCATGCTGTCTGTAGCTTATAGACAAGAAGATAGGGGCTCAGAAGGGTTTTGTGACTTGCTCAGTAATGGAGGTTTAGAGCGTCAGAGGCAGAATTTCGACCCAGTTCTGCCTGGCCTCTAAACTCACGCTCTCCCCACGTAATACTCGGCTTCGTTTCAGAGAAGGAGGCTTCTCTGATGTGTGTGTCTTTCACTGAGATGCTTCAGATGCGGGTCAGTCTTGGCCATTAGCATTTCCTTCCCTTTGGTGAGAACAATGGGTGTTCTCATCTTCCCTTCTGACCACTCAAAACCCCCTGAGTTGAATGAGAAGGCAGACCCACCAAATTATACCTGACCTCATAGATTTCCCACCTCACAAACCCCCCAACACCACAACCCCCGCTTCCAGCTGAATCTCCTTCTTACCCTCAGATGTTATTACATAGAAGAACATGCAGAGGTCTCCCAGGCCCTCTATTCCGGACCTTATATTTTTCTCGTGTTGACAACTTAATACATGTCCACACTTCCTTTTATGGGGAAAGATAAGACTCTGATGGTAATCAGAGCACCAGGGTAGGAAATGCCACATTCCTCCGTGTAAATATTTGACTAAGCTTTCTCCAGGCCATGCATCATTATGCCGAGCCCCCAGAAAAACTTCAGGTCCACAGATCTGCAGGTGAGATACCTTGGCAATGAATTATGAGAGGGCTTGTTTAAAAACCACGGCCAGAGCAATGTATTTCTGGAAGGGGTAAGGAGGCCTGCTCTACGTGACCAAAAGCTGTTCTGAGAAAGCCAAGAATAGAGGCTGGGTCTCAGCTGGGCTGGAGTTCCTCCTTCAGTCAACTAATCCCTGAAAAGAGGGACCTGTTTGGATGGTTTTTAAAGAAAGAAATGACTGCAACTATGTTGCTAATGTCCATGTAAGTGAAAAATCGGAAGCAACCTGAAGGTCGATAAAGAATTACTTACATCCACCAATGCAGTAGGCAAACAATAATAAAAGTATTGATAATCATAGCTAACATGTATTGATTGCTGACAACATGCCATTATAGGTTCTTCTCATTTAATCCTCACAACATTCTCCTAAGGTCTCTTAAAGTGTTCATTATGCCATTTTACAACTGAGGCAGAGAGAGGTTGAGGAACTTGGCCAGGGTTGCACAGTAAGCAAGTGATGGAGCAGAAGACTACACAGACGTCGGAAATTCTATTATAAACGAATATTTGTTGACTTTAAAATATGCTCATGATATTAAAGGGAAAAATGCAGTTTCCCAAATTGTGTGATTCCATTTTTTTAATTATGAGAAATGGAGAACCATGGCTACTATTAAAACACAAACACACACACACACACACACCAGAAAATAAAAAGTGAGGAAACTGGAAATGTAGAGAAATTGGAACTGTTGGTGGGAATGTAAAATGGTGCAGCTGCTGTGAGAAACAGTATAGGGATTCCTCAGAAATATAAAAATGCAATTATAAATTTTTTGATCTTTACATCTGGAAACTATATATTGTTGCTGCAATAATTTCTTCTTATATTTGAGACCAGATGTGTTGGTCCTAAAGGATGAAAACATTGCCATCAACATGCTGTCCATCTTCATGGAGGCTCTGGACAATAATCTATTTTTGACCTTATAAAGGTAGACATTACTCACACCCTAATTGTGCCCTGAAGAGCATATCTTGTGCACCTAGTCATCAGAGGCCAAACTCTTCTATTGCAGGCATTCAAAAAATGGCTTTCCCTATTTTTCCTTTTGTTGCCTGTGCTTTTGATGTCCCACTTTTTTTTCCTAATGGCCAACCAATTCTAAAGTTCAGCTTTCATGAACATCATTGAAATAAACACTTCTGTGACAGGTTGTGGCTCATTGCAAAGCTGTTGTGAACAATTCCACTTTTGGGTATATACCCAAGAGAATTGAAAGCAGGATCTCAAAGAGATATTTGTATATCTCATAGCAGCACTGTTCACAATAGCTCAAAGGTAGAAGCAGCCCTAGTGTCCATCCGTGGATGAAGTGGTCTATACCTACACTAGAATATTACTCAGCCTTAAGAAAGAAGACATTCTGATACAACGTGGATGAACCTTGAGGATATTATGCTAAGTGAAATAAGCCAGTCACAAAAAG